GTTCCCGATTTTCATAAGCGAATTTTGTTTAGCGATGAAGCGCACTTCTGGTTGAATGGCTACGTCAACAAACAAAACTGCCGCATCTGGAGTGAAGCTAATCCACAAGTGTATGTCGAAACACCGTTACATCCAGAAAAACTGACTGTTTGGTGCGCTTTATGGGCTGGTGGAATCCTTCTTCAAAAACGATGAAGGCCACAACGTTACAGTCAATGGTGATCGGTATAGAGCCATGATTACTAAATTTTCATTCCTGAATTGAACAATCATGATGTCCAGGAGCTGTGGTTCCAACAAGACGGCGCAACATGTCACACAGCTCGTGCCACAATCGATTTATTGAAAGACACGTTTGGTGACCGCCTAATTTCACGTTTTGGACCTGTGAATTGGCCTCCAAGATCTTGTGATTTTACACCGCTAGACTATTTTCTGTGGGGCTATGTAAAGTCATTGGTCTATGAGGATAAGCCACAAACGCTTGACCATTTGAAAGACAACATTCACCGTGTTATTGCCGATATACGGCCACAAATGTTGGAAAAAGTCATCGAAAATTGGACGTCCAGATTGGACTACATCCGAGCCAGCCGTGGCAGTCACATGCCAGAAATCATATTTAAAATGTAATGCCACAAGATTATCTTTCGAATAAAAAAAATTCATGTCAATCGAATAATACATCGTTGTTTTATTGCAATTTAAAGTTCTATACCTCTAAAAAAACACCCTTTATTATATCTAATAGAACGAACTTTGAAATTCCTTATTTTTATATATTTTTTTCCTTTGCTGCTTTTAACGACCTTAGGATAATATTATGTGTTCTTTAAAAAAATCTTTTTACGTACGAAGTATGCCTGGAAACTAAGTACCATTTCGCTCGAGTACAGCCGCAGTGGTAGTTTTGCAGTTCAACACTTATGCACACGCATCTCTGGTTGATTCTCAATCCAGTGACGCTATTATAGCCGGATTGTGTTGTTTTTACAGATGTAAGTGAGGGTTTAGAATGTGTAAGATGATTGCTGATACCTCCTACTGTGAAGTGAGTTCTGTGCTGCATTTTTTTAACGCAAGGAATGTTAAGCCAGTTGAAATTCATCCTCAACTTGTAGATATTTATGTTGAAAATGCAATGAGTGATGGAATGGTTAGAAAGTAGTTTCGATAATGCGATGATAGGTGCACCACAGCATTCATGACGAAGCACGGAGCGGGCGGCCTTTTGTTGTTCATGATGGTTTGATTAAAAAAGTGAATGAGAAAATTTGGGGAAAAACAGACGGTTTACAATAAGATAGCTTTGTAATGAGAGAGTTTCCTCAAATTTTAAAAATTGTTTCAATTCCTACTTATGTCACCAAAGAAAATGTTTCATTTTAGTTACTTTTATTAAATAATTACAATTAATATAAATATGTATATACATATGACAGAATCACAATATTAAGTGGCACAAAACGCCTTTTAAATTAACATTAAAAACTTTTTAAGCACATTAAATTTGTAATTACATTTTTAATAAAAGTTGTAAAAATAGGTTGAAATTTATCTTAAAACCAGTGTTAAAGGAATGCTGACGTCTAACTAGAATATGATTATTCAGGTTAAGTTAAATCTTCCTCACAAATTTAACAAAAGCTGTTTAATCCAATGGTGCTGTCATTTAGAGGAATAATATCGACTGAAATATATATCAAAAACTATAATTAATTAATTAAAATTAATTCAGGAATTAATATTTGAAAAAACTGTATTAACATCAAGTGTCATCCTTTACAAGTTAAAAAAAATGTATTTGAACTTGAGTGGATGAACGATCCACTCAACGATTATCAACGATTGAAAATTTGAATAAGGCATTTAAATATATATAGGGAGAGTGTGAACTAATAGTAGGAATTGAAAAATAGTTTCCGACACATGCTCTTTCATGTAAAAATAAATGTTGTCTTACAAAAGGATTTTTATGGGAGTTTTTCAAAAAAGGTACTTAGTTTCCGCACATGCCTCGTAATTGAAAACACACAAATTTTATTTCATTTTTTGCGTATACAATAAACCATTTTATGTTGAGAAGATAAAAGAAAATATATGTTGATCAGGAAACTTCATACTTAATATTTCTGATATTTGAATGAATATTTGAAAAAGAAAAATTAGGAGTAATTATAGCTCTTATAACCAAGTATTTTTTGAACCACTCATGCATAACTTATTGAAATGTAGGAGAGAAGAGAAAAATATTTTTCATTTATATCAAAATTCTTATTACTTCAACATCTAGCTAGAAAATAATCGATCTTCTGTTCTATTTTGTTAAAGTAATGAAATTGCCCCTTTTGCAGTAATAGCCATGAGAGGGTTATCAATGAAGAGATGTACAAAATCTCTCTAGATACGTGCCTAGCATTGTTAAAAAGGCTTACCATTGTGTAATTGACATCAATAATTTGTATGTTTTCAGAAATATTTTAGTCATACAGTTTTCCAACCGTACATTCTCATATATTATTTAAAATTGGATAACTACATTAAAATAGCAATAGTATATTTTTCTAATCTTAAGCACATTTTTCTTGAAAAGATTCTCAAAAATAATGTACAGGCTGAAATCCTGTTAATAAATAATTTTTTTATAAGAATTAAATATTTTAATTTTTAACTTAGAGTGAGCGAGAGGGAGAGTTATATTAACGTCACTCTGTAAAGCTGGACGAGGGCTATTGGAGATGAACCTCGTAATTTTGAATCTTGAGCAAGTGATGAGAACAACGTCTGAGCTGGTGCTCCCTTTCCAAACTTCCACACCACACCAAGGGAGGACGTTTGTTCCTAGACAGATTTAACGAGCAGGGGCCCACTCTACACGGTGCGTTTATTTACATAGAAGGAATTAGTTTAAGTCAAATGGCCCTAATCCTACAAGGAAGTCAAAGATGTAAAAATATATATTTATTGGGAGAAATTAATTAATAACTAATTTTTATTAATGGAACCAACAATTATAATTACAGATAGTTTATTTACAAAATATTACGCTCGCTCACATTTATTTATTTATTCATTCCCTCACTCCCACATTTCGTATATTAATAGACATTTAATTACAACATACAGTAATATCCCGAACTTACGCGATAGGCGGAACTGAGTGATAACCGCGTAAGTTGTGGCATAATTTAGCACATATATGCATATAAATTATTTTTAGTTGAGACCGGAGACGAAAGAAAACAATAATTTAGAAGAAAAAAAATGTTTAGTAAAATCTTAGATGACACAAATAAAAATCGCAAACCCCAAAGTTATTTTCATGTAAAAGGTTTCATAAAATCTAACAGGTAATCTAGCTGCTCAAAGATTTTTTTTTCCTCCCGCAAAATTTTCTCGTAGCATGCTAATATAGATGTCGCAGGAAAATGATGAAATTAGGGATTTCATCAAATCTCTAAGGGTGATGATCAGTTCACGCAAAATGTTAAAATAACGTTTCTTTGAGGTCATGCCCCTGATGTAGGTAAGTGATTTGATCAAATCTCCGAACTGTTTTAGTGAAATGATGAAATGAACAAGTCAGCATTTGTAAGGCTCTGTTTTCACTTGTTACCACTTCATTTTACCTCCCGTCTCTCCTCGTCCGTGCCTGGCAACGCCGGGCTTATGACGTGACGCGCACCAAAACAAAATGACCTAAATATCATTTTTTAGTTTTATTTAGTTATATTCTTTGCATTATTATCGTTCAAATGATATATCACTTTTGTATGCCTGAAAAATTAGAAACTAGATAAAACTTAAATTGAAAAGTGTAAGCGACCAAATTAGGGAATTCGATCGCGCTCTCTTTATTGATAAAAAAAAGCTTTTCGATAATAAAAAAAGCTATTTTAAAAAAGGAAATAATAACTGAAAAAAAGGTGTTACAAATAAATCAGGATATTTCTAAAGTACTACATTAATGTATAATTAAAAAAAAAAATGTTTGAAATTCTACTGCAAATATCCTTTTTTTGTATTAAAAAAAATACCAGCTTTATTATCTAATGATTTTGTAAATTAATTTCGAATAAATAGTTTGTAATTCAATGATTATTGTTGTATGAATTACTATTTTTAATAATGCACCATATTTTTGCTAAATTTTAGCACTTTTAAACTCTTGACAATATTATTTCATCATTTCACTGAAACAGGTTAGGGATTTGATCAAATCACTTAATTCCCTTAGGGAATCACGTTACAGAGTTTTTATTTTAACATCTTGCTGGAATTGATCATCTCTCTTAGGGATTTGATGAAAAAAATCCCTAATTTAATCATTTCCCTGCGACATATATATGCGTATTTTTTGTTCCTTGTTTTGAGAAAAATATGTTTTTCGTTGGAGTATGTATTTTCTAAAATTTGTAACCCTTTTTCAACTAAGCTGAGGCCTTCTGTCAAATTACTAATTGTTATTCTATCTTCTGATTGAACTGGGCCTAATGACTCAAGTTCTTCAATGTCTTGTCTTGCTCATGCATGTCTATGAGCTCATCAATTGTCAACGCCTGATTGTGGGAATCCAGCAGTTCTTGAACGTCATCACTATCGATTTCTAAATTTATTTGCTAATTTTTTATTATAACTTCTTCAAAAAAATTACCAATTTCATCAGGGTCTAGCACTGATTTCGCCTCAGTTTCAGTGATGGAAAAAAAGAAAACAAGTAATATAAAAACATCTTTTTAAGTCAATTCCTACTTAGATCAACAAAGCAAAATTTTATTTTAGTTGCTTTTTATTAAATAGTTGTAAATAATATAAATATATATACTTATGACAAAACTACAATATTAAGTGGCAAAATAGAGAAAGCGATTTCCCTTGCAATTTTTCATTTTTCTTTCTATGTGTGGTGTTGGACTTCTTTTCTTTGTTTGTTACTAATTAAACTTAATTATTTGAATAAAATAGTATAGTAAATGAAATTACATTCTCAGAAATTAGGCCATCCCAGGTGGGATTCAAACCCGCGACCTTTGGATCAGAAGTCCAACGCACACACACATTATTCATTGCGCTGCAGGGACACAACGAACACAATTTTCCTTTATAACTATGCTGTTGGACTATTATTTTTGCTTACAACTATTTATTCATTTTTGAATTTAATTAATAAATTAATATTTGAAAAAACTGTATTAACATCAAGTGTCATCCACTAGAAAATTGAAAAAAAAATGTATTTGAACTTGAATGGACGAATGAAAAGTATTTTATTAAGGATTGAAAACTTGAGTAAGATATATAGGAAGAGTGTGAACTAATAGAAGGAATTGTGGAAAAAAGAGAAAGAAAAAGAAAAGAAAGGGTAGATCGACGAGATTTGAAAATCTCTCGTGGTATTACTTTAATATATATATATTATATATATTTTTATTTCTTAGGAAATAGATGGAGTTGTTTCATCAGCGTTGTTGTAAAATTGTATCCCCGAGAGTGAGGGGGACTTATGTGTATGATACAGGAGATGAGCGGTTTTGAGAGTATGATAGTAGAATTTGTGAGGTTGTTATGAGGTGTGAGGTAGATTAGAGTTATGTATAAGGTGTGAAGTAGTTAGTAGTTGTAAAATGAAGTTATTTATTACTACAGCGAGGCAGTTAATTTTAGATAGTATTATCATTACATTTATGATGAGTCAATATAAAAACAAAGTACAAATATTAATTAAATAGTTTTGAATCATTTTATGGAAAATAAGGGCATTTAGTATATGCTTAAATTTTAATACCATTTGGATTCGAGTTATATAGGAATTTTCTGAAATGTTAAAAAAAAACTCCTGAATATACCCGTTTGACTACACTATTATAGTCATTATGTGGAAAAAAAAAGAATTTCGTTACATTATGTTGATCATAAAAATATAAAAGTAATGACCTTGAAGGTCTTCCCCTCCCCCTTCTTGTTTTACTAAAAATCGTCTCTCCAAAACCTGTCCCTCATGCTCAGAAACTTGTAATTTAAATAAAAAAAATTTGATCAAGGATAGAAGTAAAACGAATAAATAAATCAGAATACTGATTACTGATAAAACTCTTCGTTACAGTTGTAGTAGGTCAATTTTTATTTGGAACATTTGTAAAGGTCTGCCCGACACTTCTAAAGGTGTGGGAGGGAAGGAAGACTAACCATATTCAAAATAACTTAATTTGTTCTCCGTACCAACAACAACACAAATTTAACAAACCAAAGTAAAGGGATGCACCCAAATATCAAATTTTTAAAGCAATTAATGAAGTATGCGAGATATGAGAAGACCTTAAATAATTACATCACTTACGTCTATTCAATAGCTTTTATTTCTTAGCTACCTAATCTAGTTTAATTCTTAGTGGACATATCGTCAACTTTAATATTACAATTATCAGCTACTAAATATCTACGCCTCACTTCAAGTTTTAATTAATCACTGCTCCCTCGATAGCAAACCAACATATCTCTTCATTCTAACCTGAAAGTTTCAACTTTAGATACAAGCCTTAATTTGCATGGTCACGTCTTCTTCGAGAGAAATCTTTATAACATAATAATTTTTATAGACCAAATATTTCCCAAGAAGATCAGTATTTTAAGAGCACGCGGATAGACCCGTCACACATTTTTAATCGAAATATTCAAGTGATTAAAATTATCTTAATATAAACTTTTAATAATATCGTACGTAATAATAAAGCATTCATCTGTAATAATGCAATATTGACCTATAAGTGTATACGTAATAATAAAGTGTTCACCTAAGGATGAGATATGTTCTTAAAATGTGCACTTTATTATAATTAGCGAATCATTATTGAAATTCGACCTAAGCTACGGGAGCACGTCAGGTTAAATACTAATTTAAATATCTAGAATATAAATCTTGTACTTATGTGAATAGCAGATCCTCAGCAATACTGTGATTCCCAGAATGACCAGTCAGATCCTTTCCACTAGAACCACTGCAATGTTCACTGTTAACTTCTCCAACTTCGTAGTCTCCGTATGACAACAGTCACCATCCTCCCAATTTCCCTTTGCACTTGACTTTAAATGGCAACTCTCATCAACATAAATCGCGGTCTCTTTACAGAAAAGAGGTTTTATAGTCATTTAACGTCTTCGAAGGAATTTTTCCTAGAGGATTAGTAAGAATCGTGAATAGAAACTGCTGTAGTGTGACCTCAAAACAGCGTCATTTAATGATAAGTAAATATATACTTAGGTCCATGTAATACAAAGAAACTCCAAACAACGGTTAGAATACGCCGCATAATTGTGCGTACTGCTTTTTAGCATAGGTAGATGTAACAGAAAAGTTTCAAAATAGAAAAAAAAATTATTAATTGGGAATATAATTTATTCTCAAAGAAATACAGCTTTTATAATGTGAAGTCATGATAGAAATGAAGCAGTTTATTAATCTCTATGACAATCGAAATTCTCCAGCAGCATTGTTTTCGTGTTCTGGAGAGTTCTGAAAAGGGGAAGAAGAGTTACAACTGCCCTCTCAAGAGCATCTCAAATATTCAAATCTACCTTGACCATTCAGTCCCGTGAATATCCTCATCTTCCATTAAATTAAACCAGGGTCAACTGCTACCCTAAAAAATTTTAGGGCTTCAATACTACATCCCTATACCTCACAGTAGTCTCAGATTATCTGATAAAGACGTGGAAGTCCGTGATCCCGTCCGGCATGATGCCTGCCCATACCATCACACCTCCAAATCTCTAAAATGCTTTTTTTTTCGCAATTGGAGAGCATGTAATGAGCTCTTGCTTCTCTCCAGTGGGAGGTTTGAGAATCAATGACTTTTCTCAATCTGGGCTCTGGGCTCATGAGTAAATGGAGCGAGACCTCTCCCTAATCCGTGCGCCAAAGCTGATGTTCTCTACACCGTGCTAAACGGGCTCTTATGTGCACAATGAGTGGGACAAAAACAGAAGATCTACCTTTAAAAATATCTTTCTCGAAATAGAGAGAGTAATCCTTGAAACTTGAATTCTTGCGGCCCCAGGAAATTTTCGGAACAGTTGCGAAGTTGTGAACTCCTGTTGTGATTCACAGTCGCTCGCTGTAATGGACCGAAACCGATCGGTCATTGTGGTTTTTGGATGACCTTTCCAAAGTATTTTCTCATGACATTATCCGCATAACTTGCACTGGCCGTTGCATTCAAGTTTCAGCAATCTACACTCGATTCTGTACAGTTTCAAGACTTCCAACGAATCGTCACCTTATTTCCTTAATTAATCGTGGGTCTATACTCATTTTAGCTGTTTGATTTTGAATTTCACCGACTTCTGTTATAACATATTCATGGAAGTCCTGAGCTGTACAAACGAACAAAGCGCGGTAGAGAGAGAGTTAGTATGTGCGCTCACAAAGAATTTCCCTCTAAATGTACAGCCCACACGTCCGTGTACATTTATGTAAAAATTCACATTATTAACCCAGAAGCCTTAATTTTACCTTTCATTTGCACCTAAATCTATTTTTAACGGTAGATAAAGTCCATTAAAAACTTTGCAAAATAAGATATGACTTGTATAGGAAGAATGGGGATGCATTCTGTATTTTCAAAAAATAGTGTTTAATGAAATAAGGAATTTTATTTAATTTGAAAAACCATATAAAAAGGTAATGTGTGAGTGTGGGAGAAGAAAGAACTGTATAAGCCGTTAAATTTTTGTATTGACATTTATACACTTAAAATTTGTACAATTAACTGTGTGATATCCTTATATTTAACATTATTATTATAGGTTCATACACGTTTCATTTAATTTAAATAAAATTAAGAACGCATACACATATTCCTTCAGAAAAAGAACGAAAACTTTAAATTAAAAATACTAGAAATAATATTAATCTATATTATTCGGTACTATTTATTGATAACAAACACATTTCCTTCGATGGAAGGAATCAATTGTGACCCTCACTAGGAAAATTTACAAAATCGCTTATTCTTGAATCCAATGAAAGTTTTCATTTGGTAATAATGTTTTGAGAAGATGAACTGTTCACAAAATGTTTTGTGGTATTGCCTTTGTAATCAAAGTACTTTTTATTCATTTTTAGCTTTTTTTTAGCTTTGGAAGAATTCTTAACAAATGTCTCGTTGGAGTTTTGAACTCCATTTTGGATCGATGTTTAATAAATAATTAAAACTCTGGGAAATTAAACTGATTGTGTAATTAATTTCCGCCTCAACATTTTGCATAACAATCAAAGATCCTAAATTGTGTTAGAGTAAATCAGCTATGGTGAAACAAAATTTTTAGTATATATATTTTTTTCGGGAAATTCGTTTAAATATACAATATACAAATATTCTTAATTTAAACATCAGTGTATTTGGACTTTCTCCGAAAATAACATGGCAATTTTTACGCTTTAACTTAGTATCTTTCAAACCTAACTGATGATATGACTAAAACTGAAGGCTGCATTTACCTTCTGAAATCAGTAAAAGTATCTGACGATGTCATTTGAATATCGAATGCTTGTAACCCTTGAAACCTCCAAAAAGGTTTGCAATAACTTAGCCGACACTAACTCTTAAAAAGTGTTTTTTCATAATGAAGATTATTCTGTCAAAATTCCTCTTATTTAAGTTACAAATGAAACTTAATTATGTCAATAGTGTTTTTATATTCCTAGAATTCTCTGGATTGGATTATTATATATATATATATATATATATATATATATATATATATATATATATATATATATATCATTTATATAATTCTCATTTCAAAAGGGCAGACTGTAATTATTTTTGAGTTTCCTGTTCCGATGGTTATTGCATTATTTATAGATTTTTTTTATAGAATATACTCTCGTAAAATGAGTTATTTATTACTTACTCTGAGTTATAAAAATTCGAGGCTTTTGATTAAGTATTTGATTTGAAACATAATTTTTCCTATTTTCTTCATATCGCTTAGCTACGCTTCTATGGTCTTTTTTTTTGATGCAGTAATCATATTGAAGATGTGCTTTGTATTTTTAATCTTTTAACCGGTTTGCGCATAC